TTTTTATATAAGTAGATAATTCTTTTTTCTTTTTTCTTAGTATTAGTAATTAAGGCTTTAAAGCTTATCTTTACTTTAAAGCTACTCTTTTCCTTTTAAGCTTAAAGGAGTAAAGTCCTTCTTATTATTTAAGGTAAAAAGTAGTTCTATCTTTACTACTTAAACTACTATAGGCTATATAGCTAAAAAGAAAAGGTACTTTAATATAAAGTATATAAATATACTATAATTATTATATATACTATATATATTAATTAATACTATCGCTAATATTTAATAAGCGGCTACTACTTTTTTTATAATAGTTATAAGCTTAGGTAAAAGGGTTACCCTTTTAAGAACGTCCTAGTAACTATATATATACTTTCTAGCTAGCTTAGCTCGTACTACTTATAAAGCCTAAGGTTTAAGTCTTACTAAAGTAATTACGCGGTATTAATATAAGGCCTACTTATATAAAAATTCCCTTTATAGTCTAGGATATCTAAGTATCCTAGGACGAATTAATATAGTATCTTTAATAGGGTATATTATATATACTATATATATTAATTAACGCTATCGCTTATATTTAATAGGCGGCTACTACCTTTTTTATAATAATAATATAAGTAGTTACTATTAGCTTTTCTTTTCTTAATTTCCTTACTTATTACTTAAAGTATAAGATAGTATAAAGGGGATTTAATAGTAACTTCCTACTATATTTAGCTTAGTTTATATAAGTAGCTAATATTAAAGTATCTTTATTAATATTAATAGTTAGCTATTCTTTTTATAAAAAAGTAGTAATCTTATTACTACTATATAATATATACTTATAAAGCTTTTAAAAATATAGCGTTTACTTATAGCCTTATACTATCTTTATTAACTAGCTTATATACTTATTATAGTTAGTAAGTATAATTATAAAGATTAATAGCTTTTATAAGGCTAGTATAATTAAGTTCTATAATTATATAAGCTTTATACTATCTTTTTATATTATAATTCCTACTACTTATAAAAGCGTTTCTTTAAAGTTATTAAGGAATTTACTAAAGGTCTACCTATCTCTTTACCTAAGGGTCTATAACTTATCCTATACCTTCTCCTACTTTTATATATTACTAAATATATATATAAGGTATTAAAAGAAGTCTTATAGGTTATATTTACTTTTTAAGCTATTTTTATCTTAGAATCTAAAGATCTACTATATCTAGGGCTTTAGTAGTATATAAAAAAGTAAATACTACGCTATATTATAATAGCTATTTAAGCCTTATTTCTTATTTATTATAAACTTTATTTATAGCTAGCTAAGGAAAAAGTAAAAGGACTTAAGCTTACTATCTTAAGTTAGCTAAAAAAGTAGCTTTTATATTAATAGTACTACTACTATAACTTATATTATAAAAGTTATAAGGGCTAACGCTAGTTTTATAAATAGCTCTCTTAGTATAGTAAGAACCCTATTCTTCTTACTAGCTATTATACTTTTAATTACTTTTAAAATAGCTATAATACTTCCGATCTACTTAAAGGGTAGCGAGGTACTCCTTTAAAGAAGTAGTACCTTTTTTAAAGAGATATCTATTAAATCTATTAGTTAATAGCTTATATTATTTTAAAGTAAGTAGTAGTATATATATAAGTACTATATATAAGCTAATATTAATAAGCTATATATTATAAAGTAAACCTAAGAGGGTATAAGCTATAGTTATACTACTACTACCCTTTATTATATATAATAGTATAATAAATTAACTAAGTTACCTAGCTTATTAATTAACTATACTTATTAAGTATACTATAGTTATTAATAGTCTAAGTAACGCTTAGACTCTTATATATAGTTTCTTCCTATACTCTCTCCCTTTAGTTAATAAGCTATTACCCTTAGGTACTATACTACCTATTAGCCTAGGTTAAGATCCCTTACTACCTACGCTATATATACGCCTCTAGGCTATAGCGCCTATATATATACGCGCTTATTTAGCCTTATATATAGGGACTTAAGCCTATAGCTAATAGGTAGCTTAGTTAATATATTATAAAGTAAACCTAAGAGGGTATAGGCTATAGTCGCGCTATTATAAGGGCTTTTACCTTATATAGGACTAGACTAAGGTCTAGGCTAAGTCTATATATAAGCGGCCTCTATGCCTATATAGGCTAGGCTTATACTTCTCTTCCTTTTCCCCCTTATAGATTATTAACCTTCTTTTAATAGACTATACTTAAGCCTATACCTCTACTTACTTTATAATAGTATAATCTACCTTTTATTTTACCCTCTCTATATCCCTATATATAAAATAGCTATTTTTAGCTGCCTTTAAAGCCGACGTTTAATTACCTAATCTAGTTAAACCGCCTACGCTAGTATATATATATACGAAATATCTATACTCTTATAGTTATAAAATTAAAGTAAATATAATACTTAGTTTACCTAAGTAATTAAGAGCCTCTTATAATAGTAGGGCTCTATATAACTAAGAGCGGTACTACTATACCTTAGTAAGTTCGATAGCTCCTTCGCGGAGCTTAATCTATAGCTACTTTATATAAAAGTAAAGCTCTATATAGATAGCGCTATAATAAGGGATATCCGCGCTTAATTTAACTATCTTTACGCGAGCCTATCTCTATACTTATAAAGGTATCTCTTACTATTTACGCGGACTAATATAAATAGACTAGCCGACCTCCTTATAAAGCTCTATACTAATTATAGCGAACTTAATATAGCTAAGTTAGTAGGCTAAGAGCTTATAACGCTCTATTAAAAGTAAAGTAAAGCTATTTTAGCTTACCTTATATAGTTTAAAGAGGTACTTTATCGAGTAAATATATATAGCTAGCTTAACTTAATAAAGTATAATTACCTTATTATAAGCTTAAATATAGATTAGTATACCTATTTAAGTAAAAGGTCTATACTACTAGATATATATACTAATCTTATTTACCTTCTTTATAAGCTTAGTAATAATAAGTTTCTTTTTTCGTCTTTTTTTATAATATAAGAAGAGGATAACGCTAATAATACTATAAATATTTCTATCTTTACCTTAAAGACTAAGGATAGAAAGAGGTAGCGATAGGAGGGTCGCTATATAGGCTATAGTAGTAAATCCTATTAGTTTTTAAAGTACCCGCGCTAAGAGGCGCGGGTAAACGTACTCTAAGTAGTAGAGGGGCGTATACGCTAAGATAGAAAGGAGGTTAGGTTCGACGATAGCGACTCTAGTAATAAGTAATCTTAGTAACGCCTTTATAAGCTTTATCGGCGTCCCCTCGCGTACGGTAGTAGCTACTATATAAACGGGATATATACCTATAGTAACCGAAAAGGCGGCTAAGATATAGGAAGGCCGCTAATATAATATAACTATAGCGAAAGGGAGTGCCCGTATAGCCCTATATAAGAAGGAGCGGAGCCTTATATACCGGAGTACCGTCCCTTATATTACGGTACTAAGAGCTACTACTATACGCCGATATAGGGGGGGCGGGATACTATAAGCTTACTAAAGCTAGCTACGCGCCGTTCTACGTACCTCTACTCCTTAGCTAGAAGTACTAAAGCCCGACTCCTAGGGCGCGGCCCCTACTAATAATATAGTCTATCTAAGAAGCTCGCTTAGGAGGGTATTATACGTTATTTACTAACGTTTTTTCCGCGACTAAGCGTGCGTAGTCCGCAGAGGTTCCGTCCCTTAGCGCGGTATTAGGTATTATTTAGAGCGCGCCTCTTTAAAAGCTAGGTAGGGGTATAATATAAGGGCTTTTGCCCTATATAGGCCTAGACTAGGGTCTAGGCTAAGTCTATATATAAGCGGCCTCCGCGCCTATATAGGCTAGGCCTATACTTCTCTTCCTTTTCCCCCTCGTAGATTATTGACCTTCTTCTAACGGACCGCACCTAAGCCCACGCCTCTGCCTACTCCGTGACAGCCACTACCCCCCTCTGCCACGTACGACGTGTTGCACGCACGCGATAAAAGGTATCGAATTAACTAAGCTGCCCGGCTTGTCAATTAATCACACTTATCAACCATACCACACTTATTAACAGTCTAGGCAACGCCTAGACTCTTATAATATAGAGCTCTTCTATATACGGCTGGCCCGCACATATACGTGCGGGATCCGGCCCTCCGCACGTGACTACACGGCTTAGGCCGCGGCCCAAGCCCACAACCCATAATAGTCAAAGACTCTTACAACTATACTAGGTCGCCACGGGCGCCTACTTTTAAAGTCTAATCAGCGCCCTTAAGGCCCGGGCATAATGCGGCAAGGCGTAACCTGCTTAAAGTATCCATGGTAGCATAAACTCTCGCATACTACCGACATCGGGGATCACACTCCTGTGCATGTGGCTGTCTGAAGTCTTGACTCATGGAAGTCATTGGCTCCAGCCATGTCGGGAGTTCATTGCCTCCCTCACGTGACCTGTCTCGTGGCCATCCCAGCCGCGTCTCTTTGGTGGGGCAGCGGAGCGGGGAGTCTCAGATAGCGGACCCTCATTCGCTTTCAGAGGGCGTCACGAGACCCTCGCCTCCTCCGTCGACTACCTAGCAGCCATCCATGATCGCTTCGACGCCCGCCATCATCCATCCTGCAACTCCTGCATCCCCTCCGTATCGATCCCCTCTCCGGCAAACAACACGCTAGTCCCTCGTCTGCTCTCACACCCACCCCCATCCGTCCACGATGCCTGCGTGTGCTGCATTCTAGAGGGTGGTTCCCCGTTGAGTCCCGCGACTTGGCCATGGCAACCACCCTCGACGAGCCCGCTCGTACACCGAGATCCATTGGACCTGCTCGACTCTTCTTGACCTGAATCCGTACCTGCGACCGATACTCAAACCCCGCCATCTACCATCTGGCGATTTCCGTCCCGCGACCAAGTTGCCATCCCGTTTGGTGCGCCCGCGGCCGGCGTGCCTGCCTGCCTCTCCCTCGAGAATTTGGAGCCCGCTCCCACAGCGCCCGACATGCCTCGAAGACCCATCAAGAGCGCCACTCTTCGCGTGGCGGTTGCTCCTCGGCGAGCTTCAGCTCATCCGTCCACGCACGCTTCCAAGGACGAAACCGATGACGAGGCCAAGGCGATCCCCATCGCCTCTCTTACCCTCAACACTCCTTTGACTCTGCTCAAGACGCCCAAAAGACGCGTGCCCTCCAAACCCTTCCCTTTTATACTTTTGCCTTCGGAATTGCGCATCAAAGTATACGAGCATTACTTTGGTCACGCCGACGACGTTCTCGACCTCGGACCGGACAACTACAAGTGTATCCACAAGCTCCTGGGCCTCATGCGCGTCTGCAAGCAGATACACGCCGAGGCCACTCATCTCTTCTACAGCACCAGATCCTTCCGCATCTTTCCCACTTACCCCGGGCGCTACTTCAAGACCAAGAAGCCCCTGCTGGCCCGGCTCAAGCCTCGCCAGCGCCAATGCCTCACCTCTTTGCAGCTGCGCCTCGGTCCTGGCTGGAACGCCCCCCCGCGAGGCTGGGTCGTCAACGACGCCCTCGGACTCCAAGACTGCGCCAATGTGCACAAGCTCAGTGTCTACGTCGAATGCGACCCGAGCGACGGCTTCTTTAAGGGCTTTCGGCACTCCGAGGGCTTCTACGAAGGCTTCAGTCGCAAGCTCCTGGCCAACATCATCGACGACTTGCCCTGCCTTCACGCCATTGAGTTCGATGCGCGATCCTGCGTCAAGAAATCGGGCGCCATGATGCACGGCCTGCTTGACGTTGCGGTGCAATCCCAGCGGCTGATTCGCTGGGGGCCGGAGCGCGGCTGGACTGACGCCGAGGAGGACCCCGTCGACCCAGACCCGGCCGCTCTGTTTGAAGGACTCACTCTCCAGGGCTATGTACCGAATGTCGTCGCTGCGGCGTAGCCGTTCCGGCAAACATGGACGATGCTGCGATTTCTGTGTTTCCTTTGCGATTTGGCCGAGACGGTGTGACGTTGGTCAGCCCAACTCTAAGTATGCCCAGCGCTGCGACCTCCCGACCTTTCAGACCGTCAGTCCGCCTAGCTATTAGACATCCAGTCTATGCGCGGAGAGAAGTTGGGGCATGTGAATACTCTGCCTCAGGTACTCGTCTCCCTTAAGCGGCGATGGATCGGCGGGTAGAAACTGACGCCGCAACACAAGCAAGGGCGTGGTTGGGGACAATCGCCGATCGAGCACTGGCAGGCTGCAGTGTTCCTGGCGGTCTATGGGGCCGGAGTGCCGGAGTGTTTGGACAAGGGACCGGAAACCGGTCAGGGGTGATCGCTTGGGAAGTGGATCTGATTTTGGATGTAGGCGCAATTTGGGCAACCTTGGCACATGGTACCTGTACGCTATGGCTATGACCTTTGAAAATCATCATTCCTCTCTTCCTGGCCGCACTTGTGCCCACGGCATCCTCACCGTCTCCTTTCGTCTGCGTACACACATTTCTCGCCCAGCTGGCTATCCGCGATGGGGTCAGCCTGATTGTGACACCGGTCCGCAAGGCATCATTGTGCCCCCAGCATGGCCAAGGCATCCTTCAGCTCCTTGACGGCCGTGGGCACGTCCTCAAAGTTCAAGGCCGAGATGGCCCACTTGGCATGCTTTTGTGCCTGGTTGATATCCCGATGATTCATCGCCGAGACCGCCGGGGTGAATGCCGCGGGGGCAGTCCCTAGAGCAGCAGGAGGGACAACCGGACTCCAAGATGGGGAGGTCCAGATTCCTGGGGCGAGAACCCCCGGAGAAGATGGCGCGAGTTGAGGAGGGGATTTGGTCGGGATTTGGTGAGGTGACTGGGCGTTGGCCTGAGGACCGGCAAATGGAGCCGGGTTTGCCAGCGGGGAGAAGGGAGGCGGTGCTCCGGGCGCTTCCGGGCGCGGGCTCGGGACAAAAGCGGTGAGATCAGGCGGCGCAGACGGGTCGGGCGGGAAGTATCCCTCCTGGGCCAGCGGCGGAGGGGCCACAGGCGGCTCAGGCCCGGCGTCGTTCGCATCTGGCATGTCCTCGACCGTCGACTGCAGCGGGCGCGGGCCGAGGAGATGCTGGACGGAGGGGTCGTCGAGGCTCAGCGCAGGCTCCAACTCTTGGGCCGGGGGCTGGGGGTTGGATTCGTTGGGGTCTTTGCCCCCGCGGATGGCCTTGAGGATGCGTGCGGCGTTCCACTTGGCAAACTTGATCTTTTGCAGGGTCTCGGGGTCGGGGGGGCCCCATTCGCGGGTGAGGTCGAAGAAGGTGGCAGCCGCGTCGAACGTATCGGCTGTTTGTCTGTTTACAAGAAGACAATGGTTAGTAGTCGTGCGGACTGCGAAAACAGCCCGAGTGAGGGGAGATGATGAAGAACACACCTCGTCACCTTGTTGGCGCGCAGGGTGCGCTCGGCGCGACCAAACGTCTCCTGGGCAAACTGCTCGACGTAGGCCTGGCCGGCGTCGTTGTCGACCACGGCATCGTCGTCGGCACGCTCCAGCTTTGTGGCCTCGAGGCGCTCGATGAGCGTCTTTGTAAAGTTGAAGCAGTCGTCGTCGGTCGTGTGGAGGCTCTTGCCGACGATCTGGTTGACGGCATGGTATTCGCCTGCGGGTGCTGTGAGTAAGAACCGACGTACAGCTGGGCTTAGAGAGGAGCCTCCTGAAAGGATACAGAAGAGGACGAGAAGGGAGAAACAGAAGAGGGAGGAACCAACACCAGTAGGCAATGGCGGGCTTGACTGTCCGCAGCTGGTTTGCGCGGTTGATGAACCGGCTCACCTCTGGGATCTTGAGGGCGGTGGGCAGCGGCTCCGTCATGGCGGGCGTGCTATGGTCATTCGGTGGGCATGGGTGGCAAGCGAGTCGGGAGACGGCCGTCGTGAGATTTAGCTGGCGTCGATGTTGTTTCTTGGGCTTCCAGCGCGGATGACGCAGCCTGTCCTACCGCTGGTGCAGTCGTTCCCGTGGGAGCTCGCGCCACAGTGGCTTATCATCAGAGGGGGGGAGGGGGTGAGTACAACCAGGTACCCAGAGAGGCATCTTAGTCCCTAGAAAATCAGCGACGCCAAGGGGCGGTGGCCCGTACTTCCAAGTAACCCCAGCTGGCGCATTAACTGGTCCAGGCCCTTCGTGAGGCTTCCACGGCCAGATTAAGAGAGGTTCGAGATTCGTCGTTACACCGTGGCCTCTTTTGCTCTGTCTCAAGGCCGCTACATCGCGCCCAGCCGCCGCCGTCTCTTTCTTGAAAGGGTCATGTGAGACTCCCTGTCCATGCACCTCTGTAGCTTCTCGCCCCCTCTTTCTCGACCGACTACTTCGTACCTCACACTGCTAACTTGCCTGCCTTGATCAACTTCCCCTTCTCTCGCAGTCGGCCTTGAGCAATGCACCAGTCCGCCGCCCTCGTAGCCGCCTTGACGGCCATCCTGGCTGCCCTGCCCGCCGCCCAGGCCGGCCTGTACACCAAGAACTCTGGCGTTCTTCAGCTCGATGCTCGCTCCTACAGCAGGCTGATTGCCAAGTCCAACTACACCTCGGTGAGTCCTCTCTATTTCACCGCCGTCTGCACCGAATGCTCATGGCCTCCCAGATAGTCGAATTCTACGCCCCCTGGTGCGGCCACTGCCAGAACCTCAAGCCTGCCTACGAGAAGGCCGCCAAGAACCTCGAAGGCCTGGCCAAGGTCGCCGCCGTTGACTGCGATGAGGAGGCCAACAAGCAGTTCTGCGGCTCCATGGGCGTCCAGGGCTTCCCCACGCTCAAGATTGTCCGCCCCAGCAAGAAGCCCGGCGCAAAGCCCGTCGTCGAGGACTACCAGGGCCCGCGCACTGCAAAGGCCATCGTCGAGACTGTCGCCGAGAAGATCAACAATCACGTCACCCGCTTGACCGACAAGGACTTGAATGCCTTCTTGGCAGCGGAGAAGCCCAAGTTTGTTCTCTTCACCGACAAGGGCACCACGAGCGCGCTACTGAGGAGCATCGCCATCGACTACCTGGACACCATTTCCGTGGGCCAGATCCGCAACAAGGAAAAGGCTGCTGTGGACAAGTTTGGCGTTGAAAAGTTTCCCACCTTGATGCTTTTCCCGGCCAAGGGCAAGAACGAGAAACCAATCACATACGAGGGAGAATTGAATAAGAAAAGCCTGCTCGAATTCCTCTCCCAAGTCGGGCCTCCTAATCCGGACCCTGCGCCGACCAACGCCAAACGCGACAAGACCGCCAAGACCGACAAGGCTACCAAGGCCGACAAGAAAAGGAGTGCGTCGACCAAAGCCCCTGGCAAACAGGGCTCTTGCCCCATGGGATCTGACAAAAAGACAGGCACCGAGCCGGAGCAGACGTCCGAGTCCTCCGCCGACACAACCTCGACCAAGGCGGCGGCCCATACCCCCGACATCATCCCCATCACCGCCATCACGACCAAGGACACGTTGGTGGAAAAATGTCTTCGGCCCAAGTCCTACACCTGTGTTCTGGCCCTCGTCCCCGCCGACGCATCTGAGCAGGGAACCAAGGTCATTGAATCCCTTTCCCAGCTCAACAGCAAGTACATCCATGGCAAGAGGCATCTTTTCCCGTTCTTCTCAGTTCCCAGCAACATGGAAGGAACGTCTTCGCTGCGACATGCCCTGAAGCTCGGGTCAGGCGTCGAACTCGTTGTCGTCAACGCTCGTCGCGGATGGTGGAAACACTACGAGGGCGACTTTGGCGTAGAGAGTGTCGAAGGATGGATCGATGCCATCCGTATGGGAGAGGGCAAAAAGGCCGAGCTGCCCAAGGGCGTGGTGGTTGAAGAAGCCGAGGCGCCGAAAGGGCAGAGCTCGACCGAGGCGGAAAAGGCATCCGAGGCGACACAGGCGACGGATCCCGAGACCGAAACCAAGACGTCCAGCCCAGAGACGGAAAAAGTTGTGCACGAGGAGCTTTGAGTATTTGTACCTGTATGTATGCGACGGTTAGGAAGGAGGAAACGAGCGTTGCCCGATCATGTGTCAGGGGTTGAAAACGAACCTGATAACCCACGCCCTTGGCTGTTGCACTGATAAAGCGCGGCCGTCCTGGTTGTCGGCTCAACCGTCCAAGTCCATAGTGATTGCATCGCTCTTCTGCGCAGCGCCCTCGCGAATCATCTTGACGCCCTTGTCCTTGACCGTCTTGTCGAGGAACTGCTTGACCTGCTTGCAGCCGTCGAGCCCGACGACGAGCATGCCCTCGAGGCGACTGACCTGGACGCGGCTCTCGCAGACGAGGACGGCAACGCGGTCTGAGTCGCCGAGGGTGGCGACGGTGAGAAAGGGCAGCTCCTGCTCCTCCTGGGCGTTAAGGTCGAGCAGCGGGTCGGCGGCGTCGTCGGCGGCGGCGTAGGTCGAGGTGGAGCCGGCGGTGCAGGCGGCGACGTAGTCGGTCATGGGGATGCCGGCGTCGATGACGGCGAGGGTGGCGGCGTTGAGGAGGGCGGCGAGAAGCGAGCCGTCCTGCGAGAGGACGTGGAGCGAGACGTTGATGGCCGAGTGGGGGAAGAGGTGCGTGTGGATGGTCGAGGCGAGCGTTTTGGCGATTGTGATTTCGATTTCTTGAATTCGTCTGCTCGGGAGTCGGTCAGTCTTGTCATGGCGACAGAGAGAGTCGTTGCATCAACCGCTGGCTCTTCAACAACTCACTTGTCATTGCGCCCGCGCTTCTTGCGGTCGACGCTCGAAAAGCCCGCGACGCTGACGCCGACGTTGATGGACGCGGCATCGCGCTGGCCCCCCTGGCCGCCGGTGCGCCTCTGCTGCTGGAGGAGCTGCTGCTGCTCCGAGGGCCCCGTTACGACGCACATGACCTTTGTGTGGCCCATCTCGAGGTACGAGGAGCCGTCGGCGGCGTCCTGGGTGCGGATCTGGGCGTGCAGGCGGCGCAGCTCGTTCCAGCGGCGGCCGTCAACGCGCAGCAGCGCGAGCGAGTAGGTGGACGTGTCGAGAGGCATTGGGCAGACGTGTGCGCGTGTGTGGTCTCAGCGTCGGAGCTCTTGTGGCTTGTCGCTGCGAGACGAGTTGGGGATGTGATTTTTTTTGCGCTGCTGAGTGGAGATGTTTTGGCGTTGCGGGCGGTGTGGCTGGTGGCGTGGCTGCGGCCGATGTGGCTTTTACATAAGGTGTTCCTCTCGGTCCAGATTTCCCGCCATCGACACGCCTCTTGTTCACGCCATGACGCTGAGCTTCGGTAGCTGGAATCTAATCCTTTAATTGATGCTCCGGGTCTGGTGCATATGCAACGGCCAATGCCCACGTTTTGAGGACTCAAACTCAAAGAATGGTGGGGCTTTAGGTGAGACGGAGGGAGAGAGAAAGCGCGCGGCCCGGAGCTTCAACCGCAAGTCACTATCTCCAGGCCGGCACATCAGTCCCCGGCTTTTACGAACAACACGCCCTGCTACATCTCCGATGCCCGCCTCGCCCTCGTGTCTCGCTCTAGCTCCTTCACCCCCTCGGTTCCATATTCCCTTCCCTGTCCAACGGCCGGGTCGGATCTCAGCGCCATATGTCCAAACGCCGCGCCAGCTCCGGGGCTAGCCGGCTGCCCACGCACTTGGCTATTTCCGTTCATGATGTCATGGCCGCCAGAGCCCGCGTGCGTGGCTTGAAGCCAGACGGTACGCTAAGCAAAAGGAAGCACCACCGGCCACGCCGGGCGTCGAGAGGGAGAGACGACAACTGCCGCGCTTTGCGACGCGGCTAGTGCCCCAGAGACGATGCCGTCCTGGTTGGGCATGTGTGTGGGTATATAAGAGCAATCCTGCTTCGACCAACTCGCGTGTGCCCCTGTGCCTAGCACAATCACAGTCTTCAACGTTGCCTTGCCCGACGAACCACCCCAAGCCTCCATCAAATCCACCATGGCTCCCTCTCTCCCCAAGACCTACAAGGCCGTCGTCCTGACCCAGGCCAATGCCCCCTTCAAGCTGCAAGACATCGAGCTCCAGCGTCCCGGCCCGGGCCATGTGCTTGTCAAGGTGCTGGCATGCGGCGTCTGCTTCTCCGACGTGGGCGTCGCCGGCGGCCACATGGGCAATGTCTTCCCCCGCGTCCCCGGCCACGAGATTATCGGCGACGTTGTCGATGTCGGTCCCGATGTCAAGGCCTGGTCTGTCGGCCAGCGCGTCGGTGGGCCCTGGCACGGTGGCCACGACGCCAGCTGCCGCCAGTGCCGCCGGGGCCAGTTCCAGATGTGCGACAACGAGCTCATCAACGGCGTCTCCCGCGACGGCGGTTTCGCAGAGTACGTCTTGCTCCGCGCAGAGGCTGTCGTCTGCGTGCCCAAGAACATGGATCCCGCGGAGGTGGCCCCCCTGCTCTGCGCCGGTGTCACCGTCTTCAACGGAATCCGAAAGCTGCACGTCGAGCAGGGCAACCTCGTCGCCGTCCAGGGGCTAGGCGGCCTCGGCCACCTGGCGGTGCAGTACGCCAACAAGATGGGCTACGAGGTCGCCGTGCTCTCGTCGGGCGACGACAAGGCCAGCTTTGCCAAGGAGCTCGGCGCCCATCACTACATCAACACAAAGACCTCAGATGCCGCGGCCGAGCTTAAAAAGCTCGGCGGCGCCGCCATCATTGTCCAGACGGCCCCCAACCCCGACGTCGTCGGCGCCCTGGTCCCCGGTCTGGCCCCCTGCGGCACGCTGCTCAGCCTGGCCCCTGTCGGGCCCGTCCAGGTCGACACCGCCACCCTCGTCTCCAAGGGCGCTAGTGTCCTGGGCTGGCCCAGCGGGCACGCACTCGACAGTGAGGAGGCGATCCGGTTTGCCATGAACCACGGCGTAAAGTGCATGGTGGAGAAGTACCCCCTGGCCAAGGTCCAAGACGCCGTCGACAGCTTAAAGGCAGGCAAGCCTCGGTTCAGGAATGTCTTGGTTATGGAATAGATGCGCCCAGACCACGGCCAGGTCATGTCACCTAGAAATTCAAAGTATATCCCTGACTTGCAGAGTCTCGTAAGCCATTGGTGTCGGCCTTGCGGCGGTTCAAAGCCCATCGCCAGCTGGCGCTGATGCGCAGCGGCGTGATTATTTGTATGTGCCTAGCCAGAAACAACTTCCCCCAGCACACGGAAAACGCCCACGCCCGCTAGATTGCGACAATCGAGACCTTGCCCTGTCGTCGTTTTCCTATAATATTATTTGCGGCCGGTCAAAGGGCGCCTGGTCCATGTACACAACCACGCGGCCCTTTTCGTCAAGACTGGCCCCGCGATCCGATATTGGTGTGTACTTCTTGGTGTGCGCAACTTCCTGCCGACTCACACGTGCCTCGTCTCGGGGGATCCACAGCGTGGGCTTCGGCGTCCACAGCTCTGGAGGCAGATAGTCGCGGTATTTGTGGTCTTCGGGGTATCCGATGATGGGGAGACTGTCGGGCGGGATCATCTTGCGCAGGGCGATGAAGTCTTCATACTCCTCTGGGTGCAGCCACCGGGCGAGGAAGCTCGGAGGCCCGTCGCCGTACTTGTCACCGGCCCAGAAGCGCAACTTTTCGAGCATTTCTGGCAGCCCGACGTTTTGTGCCTGTGCTTGCACCTTGGACTTGGTGCTCGACTTGAGCCACTCGGTCAGGGCAGACTTGACGCCGCTGGCCCCCTCGATGGCCCGGTCGTTTGTCACCGTTGCCTCGTCGTCTTCTGTCTCCACGTCCTCGTCATCGTCGCCCCGCGCATCGTTCTCGCCGAATGCCTGCTCCGGGTCAAAATAGCTGCTGGCGGCGCCTGGTTCCCCTCCTTGGTCGCCCGGCCTAGCCGTGGCTTGCTCTCGCGCTCTGTCGGCCGCCGCCTTTTCCTCTCGCTGTATCTCTTCCTCGATGGCCAGTGTCTGTGGCAGGTTTTGTAAAAGCGGTGCAATGGCGTCGCTAAGCGAAAAGTGTACTAAGCCGGTGAAGATGAAAAACATGACCATCAGGGCAAGCGGCCCAAACGACAAGTGAAGGGCAAAGAGCCCAATGAGACAAAGCTCGGCCAGGTAGAGGCCGATGGTAAGATGCAACAAGGCATGCGGGTAAAAAAGGCCCTTGCTGTCCATACCAGAGTCGTAGACGAAGATTAGGTTATATCTCCAGACCAGGCGCATGACTGCCATGCCCCCGGCCGCAAAGATGAGAATCAGGGGTGCTATGCACGCGTAACTCAAAGCTGGGCAAAGCACGTCAGTAACCAGGTCGACTGAAACTGTCCAGACCTTGACGTACCAATGACTCCCATGTTGGCGTAGATTGGAAAGAGTCCCCCCCATCGCGCCGGCTGCAGCTTGTGCCAAGTCCGGTACTGGGCACGCGGCAGATTCGAGAGCCTGGACAGGCCACAGTGGCGAATCAGGGAAAAAACATGCATCAAGTTGGTTCCGCTGCTCGCCAGGCACTGGATGAGGATGTAGGACAGATAGAAATTCGACGCCATGGGAAGGTTCCTTGCGAGGACATCTTTGGCTTTGATTGGGTTCTCGAGAATGTCGGTAAAGGCGGCCGAAGCAGCCGAGGTGAGGGTGGTTACGAGGAAGACCTGGACGACCTGAAACGCAAAGTACGCCTTTTGGACAAAGAGCTCGACCATGGTGGCCGAGGGGATGCCCGCCTGCGCGCCGCAGACTGCTCAGGGTCAGTGCCGGTAGGGAAGGGGGTTTGGGGATGACGACATACCTCGCAGCATGATGGGGATGGCCGCCATCCACAAGGACAAGGCGATGGAGGGCACGAAGCCTTGGAGGAAGCTGAGGACCACCGTGGGTAGGTGCTTGATCCAGGCGAGAAACACAATGTTTTTGGCCAAAAAGTCGATCTGGGAGATGAGGCCAATGAAGGCCGAAGGAATGGACCAGAATATGACGGCAGCCGTGACGAGGGACATGATGGCAAACCTGCGGATGATGCGCTCCCACCAGGACATCCTCAGAGATTTCCAGAGAACCTCGTCAGGGTGGATGCCGAGGATTCGAGACGACATTTGCAGCGGCCGGTGGTGGGCAACGACCTGATGTGCAGCCTGCGCACTCTCTTGCGTATCAAACTCGAGAAAGGCGGCCGGCAGGGTATTTCCGTCGCCTCGGCGGACCTGCCGGCGCATCTTGAAGATCTGCAGGTTGAGTTCGCGGAGCCGGTTCCTCGTCCATCGGATGGTGTCGACACGACGCCCAAAGTTGCCCAAGGGCCGGTGATAGGGCCGAGACTGGACGGGGATGTATTGAGCGGCAACGGAGCCTCGGACGTCTGGGAGGCTTGCTTCGAGTCCGTAAGGATGGACGTAGTCGGGATCTTCTTCTTTGACAGTCTCGCACTTTGAATCTTGTTTGGCTGCGGCAGTATCAAGGTCGCTGGCGCCGCCGGGCTTCTCGCTGGATCCGTCAGCTTGGAGATACGACCCGGGCAGCTCAAGCACGAGGTGGCCACCGCGTGGAGTGGGTTCGTTGCCGCTGCAGCTCGAGAGGGTGACGAGGTCTTGCCGAGACGTGACGGAGTCGGTTGCCGAAATGGGAGGTTCGGGCCTTCGAGATGACTTGGAGGACTTTTTGAGCTGCTTCTGCTTGGCCTTGTTTGCCTTTTGGATCAGCTCAATCTCTGCCCTTTCGAGCCTAGTGGCCGTCTGCTCCCGTTCCTTGATGAGGTTGGCCAGGGCCTTCGTGGTTCGAGGAATGTGAACGCGCCTAACAGAGTCCCCATAGAGCTTGCGGAGGCGCTGTTCGTCAAGATACTCTTTGGGGATGCCGGTCAGGAGCACGGTGCGGGAGGAGATGCGCTGCGAGTAGTAGGGGGAGGAGAGGTAGGCCTGCCGGAGGTTGACATAAAAGATGCATTCGCGCACAATCATGTATAAGACGAAGCCTAGACAGCGAGTCAGCGTGGCCCATGGTTTCAAAGGCATGAGATCCGTACCGAAAAAGACCCAGGCTATGAGTGCGTGCGCATAGAGCTTTTTCGGGTCCTGGACGTTGCCGATGGTCAATAGATCGAGTTGCGTGAGCCCTCCGCCGCCAGTGGCGTGGATTGGAAAGAGAACGGGCCATAGGATGATGCAGCCGCCGAGGCAGATATTCCTGACGACCTTGAGGAAACGCAGGAAGAAGAAGCCATCAAGAGAGCCATGGTTGAGGACAAAGGTATCGGGGATCTTGAAGAAGGGAACGACCCAGTTGAGCCAGCCGCCGGGCAACGGGGGAGTCGGGAACCTGCAAGGCGATGAGCACGTCGGCAGCGGCGTGAGGCGCGGGGGTCATACTCAGGGGCCCTGAGGCCGGGGATAGATCGGGGCGCGTAAACGCGACTGCATCGGCGGCGGAGGATGATGAAGATGACGACGCAGACGACGAGGTAGATGATGACGGGGATGAAGGTGGCGCCGAGTTTGCTGAGCGACGACGTCTTGCTGTTGGAGGCGGTGCTGAGAGTGCCTCCGCCCGACGAGTCTTGGCGGCCGGAGCCAACACGGGGGTCGCTGCCGTTGCCGTCTTTCTAGAAAATTGCGGGACCAGTCAGACGATTGGAACGGCGCGGCATGGATCAGAGGCGTACAAAGAGGTCGAGGAAGCCTCGAGCCTGGAGCCAACGGGGCGCGTTGGCCATGGAGGAGTCGTCGGGGGGGGGAGAGGGTTGGGCGTCAGGCGGCACGGGCATGGTGAGGCGCCTTCATCGCGTCATCCGGGGCGTCGGTGCCTGAAGGTGTCGAGAGTTTGCAGGCTGGACGCGGTACGGACAAGGGCGAGGAGGTGTGCGCGACGACGCAGAGAAGCCGTAGAGAGATGGGATGAGAAGAAGAGGATGGATGAGACATGGGCCGCCGGGCTGAGGAAAAATCCGAGCCGCCAGCCCCACTTCCACTGGCTCGCGCCTAAGCGCGGCCGCCGTTTGATATCATGGGCGCTCCAAGGGCGCTAAGAGGCAGCCTGGAAAGGCGATGCGGTACCCGTAAGAAACAAATCATCATAGGGCCGTTAACGGGATGGCCGTAGTGCGATGCTCGACATGCAACGGCGCTGCACGGCTCGACATTGAGTACAACATCGTGATGCCACCATGCCGGTGACGCTGCCAAGTGCAAGTTGGGTACTGAGCAAAAGGTCCTAAACTGATGAATGAAGTTACGGTACGGATAGTGGACATATAGGGGCACCGTGCAGTAGTGCCGCATAGACTGTGCTGATGCAAGACCTCTCCCTCCCTGATGCCCACCACCCACGCCAATCGGATGGTCCAACGTGGTCCGTCTAAGACGATCGGCATATATATACTTCGTATTCGTACTTGGTACAGCAAGAGGCTGCTCCCCAAACGCATGTATACCATACCTGCTGACTCTGGAGTCAAGACACATCCGTGCTAGAGCTCAAACTCGAGCACCGCCCATTGTTAAAACGTTTTCTGCCAGGCTTCGATATGGCAGGCAGGCACACCGACCGCAACCCTCGGCCTCTGCCCCTTGGGCGCCCTTCTGCTGCCGGCTGAGTTGAGGTCCGTCTTATGCCGCGCAAGACACTCTGATACCAAAGTGTGGCCACATGTCCAACCTCTACCAAGTACCAAGTCTAGGGCCGCGTGTAGTCGCCGTCTGTGCCGAGAACATGAAACTTCGGTGCATCCTTCCGCTCTCGCTCTCACCTAAGCCCTCCTAGTCTTCCACCATTCTTCACTAATGCATGTGCGTTGCAGAGGCGACGCTTTTCATCTCGTACGTGCTGACTTCGTCACTTGGTACAAAGGTAATAGAAAAGTCTAATTCCGGTTTGTGAGGCTTATCCTGCTCCGGGAAATCTTTCAGCCTCCTGTACTTTGTAGAGTAAACTGTCGTTATCATTGGAACCAGTGGTTGGACATCAAGTCAAGTGCAGGGCAATTATCGCTACACTATTTCCTTTCCACCTCCGCCCCGTCCAACAAAATATGCCGATGAGTTGTTCGTGTAACCTCACAATACACCAAGAGTGAGTGCGTGCTATCATCAGGAAACGCATCCAAGCAATCCGTAGAATAAGGCTACACTGGCAAATGGGTCGAGTATCCGAAATTCCTTAATTGTCACTCCGAGTTGAGCCAGCCAACGGTTGAGTTATGAATCCAGTTTCGGGGATAACTCAGCAGCCAAATTTCTTGTTCTTCGTGACAACAACACCGTGACTCTCTTTCCTGGGAAACGTAGCTTACAGTGGCTTGCCGTTCGCAAGGGTGCATCGGCGCAGAACTGGGCTTTGCGGATATCCGAAGGAGCAAGCTCAACAATACCGTCCTTCAACCACTTCAGTCCTATTCCAGACTGCTTCTCCCTCTGAGTAGTCACCGTCGGGTCAGTCAGCCTCAAAGCAAACACGTGGGTTCGATCACACATTCCCGCGGGTATACTTATGTGCTCCTGATTTAGACACGATAACTTGCCCAGCGAGCCAAAAGTCCAGGGTATTCGGTCCAGTTTTGACACGAGACAATTGAAATCGCATCAAACGACCTATACGTACGAGGTAATCCATTTTTTCGGCCAGGTCGTGTGTGCTTCAATGACAGATGACGGCAGTGTCTTGGAAAGCGACAGAACCGTGTGAGAGGCACACTGCTTGACCTCGCCAGGAGCAGCTGTTATTCGCCAAGAGGCGTATTTGTTCACCCCCCCCCCCCGGTTGACGGTAAGGCTTGCCGGGCTCCGACGGCCCAATGCGTATCTTCTTGTGGCTGTCTGGCTGGTGGCCTTGAAGATGATCAATCTTTGTTATCACAAACGATGAATCGGGCATAAAACATCAGACCTAACTCTGATTCAAGATGCCTTCACAATCTTTGGCGCCCCGCGATACCCAAGAAGCTTTGCCAACTGCGGAAACGAAGCATGACGTGTCAGTTATGCCAAGAAACTCGCGCACTGGCTTCCAGCTATAGAGAATTCGCTCATGCGCCTTTGAGCTGTGACGGTGCAATCAGCTCTAGGGGTGTTCTCCCTTTTCATGGCGGATCCCCGAACGATTGATGGTGCTCGCCGTTGGCACGCAGCTGAAGCAGGCCTATTGTGCGGAGTATGACGAGCACAGTAAACCCTGAACCTCATTTGCGAGCCGTGAGATGGTCTAGGCCTTTTCAATGACCGCGACCTGAGCTCGCAGACTCCCACGTGGGCGGAGTCTGAAGTGAGCTGGTCCCCTGGTGGCTTGGACCCATGCGGCTGAACCCTCGCTGTTGATCCCTTGCCATGGGTCCAATGAGATCGGCGCGTTAATGTTAAAAGGCGGTGGCGCCTCTAATATGCCCAGTAGTGCTACCTGGGCTGCTGGCAAGCGAGCTCATCAGTCTCTTGGTTAGCTACCGCGAATGTATTGTACGGCCTGCTGGGACATTTGCGAAGTGACGTGTAAAAACTGACAGCCTGCTGATCAAAGGAGGTCCGGGAGCAACTTCTAGAGCTCAGTCACCCCAGGTGTAGCATCCGCCTCTCCCTCTAGCTTGATCTTGTCCACGAAACCCAGCAGCCTCTAGCCCCTGCCTGCTCCGTACCCGTAATGCTTGCTCAAAGCCGGCTTCAAGTGCACCACGCCCAGCCGGCCAAGGGCCCAGTCCACTCGGTTAATCTTGTCTGGATCTCTATCGCCTCCTTGAGCTTGGCTTGGTCATACAGCACTACAGCTGCAACATATAGACGTGCGGGTGGAAGACCAGGTTGACCGAGAACACTGAGGTGGAAGAAGTCGCAAAGCCGCGCCCGGTGTGAGGATCGTAGTGAAGCGTCGCCGCACGTCAGATTGTATCCTACCGCCTTGGCGTTGGTGGCCGCGAGGCCGATGACGAGGTTCGAGTCAGGGTCGACGCCGGATGTAACACCGGGGAAGCTGTAGAGGATGGTAATGGGAGACACCATGGTAGTGGGAGACAACATGGCAACGTCACCTAAGAATTTGTAAACAACTGACTGCTGCATCGTGCCGACAAACTTTGGCGCAGTGTAGGCGTGCGCGTCAAAGCGTTATGAGAAAAAGTATCTATGCAAATAGAGAAAAGTGTCTGGAATACTAATGCTCAAGATATATTACGCCTTCTAAGTTGCCTCTATTATTTGCGAGAAAGTGTTCGTATATTGTCAGTGCAGTATACCTAAGTATATCTCGACCTGAGGTGGTGATCGTCTCTTGGCTTAAGCCGACAGTTGTGTTGGTGGCTGCGTGTCGTACACATTGTACGTACGTTCTCAAAGCCACAATGTTTCCGCGGTTTTTCATTCATCCCCCTTTCCCCACATACCGTTTCTCTCGCTGTCTCCGTCGAGCCGCAGTCGTCATATTCCTATTATGGGACTGCACCATGACGGGGTGCTTGAACGCCGCTGCCGTCGACATTGGGTCCACGTACTACTGTGCAACGCATATCGGGGCGGCTCGATGACGACCAATACAAGACAACCCTGGACGCAGACTTGATCGCCTTGAGAGAGAAGATTAACCACGAGGCATTCGTGCGACGCGCGAGAGAGCTTGCTGGGGGCGAGACACAGGGTCCAGATGACCGAGGTCCATTGGGACGCAGCCAAACGGGTCGTATGCTGCTCATCTTGAGCTGGTTTTGGAAGGCCTTCAACAGACCATTGAGATGCGAGACGAGGGAGAGCTATTTATAGGCGGCAACGGACGCCATAGGTGAGTCCTGATGACTTCCCTCTCTTATAAGCATCGCGAATTGAACTTCCCGACCTCTCAGGTTCTGCGTGCTAGTTACCAGAGTCTTTTTTTTATCATTACTCGCATGCAGCCTCTAGGGCCATGGAAAGGGTAGCTATAAAGGTAAAGATAAAGGAAAGGCTAGTTTAGTTCCCCCCGCGCGGTGTTTTCACCCCCTAAGGGCCCTAGGGCCCCTAGGTTACTCCTTTTCGAGCTACTTAGCTATCCCTATCTCTATTTTAGCTAGGAAGGTTAGAAGGGCTTCCCTTCTTTCCTTAGAGCTATAGAAAAGAGGTAGGCTAAGGGCCCCCTTCTATTTCTTAGAGGCCTAGTAAAGGACCTCTCTTTCCCTCCTATAGTTTAGGCACCTTAGGATATAGTATCTAGCCATATACCTTCCTTAGCTATAGCGGTAGTCGTTCCGGTCTACCTTATTAGTCCTTTTTAGGAAGGAAAATAGGAAGCCGGCCTTAAAAAGGAGCTAGTAAAAGGCCGAGTATTACGACCACGGTCTAGCGAACCGCGGGGGACCAGTATATATTACGAGGACACGTAACGTAGGGAGCAAGGAATATTAAACGGACCGACGGGCTAATTAAGTATCGAGCGACGGGTTACTTAAGCGCTCTAACGCTCTACGGCTAGGATCGTAGGATCGCTCTAACGCTCTAGCGCTCCTAGGCGACGGGATTACCTAGTGCTCCTAGCGATCTAGGGAAGCTCTTAAGATATATAAGGAAGGAATAAAATACTCCTTTAAATAAATAGCTTAAAAACTTTTAATATAATTACTATAATCTTTATTATAATCTTATCCTTAATTTTAATTACTTAATTACTTAGTTATAGTCTATAGTCTATAACCTTTAACTAATTATTAATATAATATACTTATTATTACTTAGACTATACCTTTCTATATTTATTAATATAAACCCTTTAATAGGTTTATCCTTTAAGAATAATATTAATTATTATATATTATTATTATTATTATTATTAAGATTATACTAAGGACCTAGCTAGAAGTATTTAAAACTTTAATATTAAATAAAAGGGAAAAACTAAAGTACTTAAAGGAAAACCCTCCCCTCTTTTAATATAGGTCCGCTTTAAACGAGGTTATAGTAGTAGTATATAGGAAATTTACGCTAGCTACTATAGGCTTCTCCTATATATTTATATTTTAGCGTAGGCCCTCTTAAGCTATAGCCGCTACTATCTTAAGCGGCCGCGGCCTAGGCTTACTAGCCTAGGCCTAGGGTTATAGGTAGTAGTTATAAGAGTCTTTAACTATTATAGGTAATAAGCTTAGGCTACGGCCTAAGCTATATAGTTATATATAAAGGGCCGGATCCTATATATATAGGGGCGGGCTAGCCGTATATAAAAGAGCTCTATATAGCTTATTAATATTATCTTATAGACGGTACCTACGTATATACTTTTACTTACTCTATAATAGTATAAGCTATTAACTAATAGATCTAATAGATATCTCCCTAGAAAGGGTGCCGCTTCCTTAAGGGAGCACCCCGCTACCCCCTAGGCGGATAGGAAGTATTATAGCTATCCTAAAAGCGATTAAAAGCGCGACGGCTAGCGAGAAGAACGAGGTTCTTACTATACTAAGGGAGCCGTCTACGAGACTAGCGTTAACCCCTACGACCTTAGTAATACTAGTTACGGCGGTAGTACTACCGATATAAAAGCCGCTTCCTTAGCTAACTTAGGACGGTAAGCCTAAGTCCTTTTACTTCTTTCTTAGCCGGCTATAGACGAAGTTTATAATAGATAAGAAATAGGGCTTAAATAGCTATTATAATATAGCGTAGTATTCGCTACTCTATATACTACTAAAGCCCTAAATATAGCGGATCTCTAGATTCTAAGATAAGGGCGGCCTTAGAGGTAAACGCGACTTATAGGACTTCTTTTAATACCTTATATATACGTTCGGTAATATATAGGAGCGGGAGAAGGCATAGGATAGGCTATAGACCCTTAAGTAAAGGGATAGGTAAACCTTTAGTAAACTCCTCCCTAACTTTAAAGAAACGCTCTTATAAGTAGCGGGAACTATAGTATAGGAAGATAGCGCGAAGCTTATATAGTTATAGAACTTAATTACGCTAGCCCTATAAGAGCTACTTATCCTTATAATTATACCTACTAACTACGGCGAGTATATAAGCCGGTTAATAAAGGTAGTATAGGGCTATAAGTAAACGCCGCGTTTTTAAAAGCTTTATAAGCGCACGCTATATAGCGGTAATAGGATTACTACCCCTCTATAAAAGGAATAGCTAACTATCGATACTAATAGAGATACCTTAATATTAGCTACCTATATAGACCGAGCTAAATATAGTAGGAAGTCGTTATCGAATATCCTTTATACTATCCCGCTATCTAAGTAGCGGGCGAAGTAAGTAATAAGTAAGGAAATTAGGAAAAAGAAAGCTAACGGCCGCTACCTACGTTATAGCGCGTTTATATACTTTATATTAAAATGCCCCTTCCTTTTAGCTAAGCGGCCTATAGTAGTTTAAGTAGCGAAGATAGAACCGCTCCTTACCTTAGACGATAAAGAGGACTCCGCTCTCTTAAGCCTAAAGGAAAAAGAGTAGCTTTAGAGTAAAAATAGGCTCTAGAGCCCTAATTACTAGTACTAGTAAAGGAAAAGGAGGAATTATCCGCTTATATAGAAAAGGAGCCTACTTTAATATAGGTTATAGTTAATAACTCCTTACCTATCGCTGCCCTTATAAATAAGGGCTACTAGTACTACGCTATAGTTAACGAGGCGCTTATATAAGAGATATAAGTATTAGTAGAAAAGATCGCCTTAAGGCGAGTAAAAAGCGCCTTAAGCGCGATAGAAGGTATAGTAATTAAGGGTATTATATAGCTAGCTATAGAGGTCGATAGTTACTATAAGCTTATTATAGCCTATATAATCCCTTAACTAGAGTTTTCCTTAATCCTTAGGAAACCCTAGTTATTATATATAGAGTTATACTCGGTTTTATACTAAAAGAAGCTATAGTTTAGGCCTATATAATAGTAGGTCCGCTATAACGATAGTTCTATAAGTATAGGACTAAGTATATAAGCTTTAAACTTAGTATAAGAAGTCCTTACCTTTATCTTTATAGAAACTATACGATAGTTAAAGTAAAAGGAAGGCTAGGTAGCGGCTAATATAGCGGTCTATATAGTTAGCTTAGCGGATATCGATAAGGCCCTTTAAGTAAAGAAGCTAAAGTTACCCTCTAAGCTATAGTAGTAGATACTAGAGCGCTTTTATAACCTCCTACCGCTATTTAAGTCCTAGGAAGTAAATAAGCTTAACTTATATAAGCTAGGGGTAAACTATAAGATTATACTCTATACTAATAAGAAGAGGTAGGAACTACTTATACCGTTTAAACCGCTATATAATATATTATACGCGGAGCTATTAATACTAAAGAAAACGCTAAGGGACCTCTTAAATAAGGGTTTTATTTAAGTAAGTAGCTCTAAAGTAAGAGCGCTAGTCCTATTTATATATAAACTAAGGAGCGGGATATAGTTCTATTATAACTATAGAGCTCTAAACGTAATTACGAGGCTAGACCGCTACCCCTTACCCTTAATCTTAAATACGCTCTATAACCTTTTAAAGGTAAAGTAGTTTATAAAGCTAGATATAAAATAGGCGTTTTATAAGGTATAGATCTTAGAGGGTAACGAGTAAAAGACAGCGTTCTATATACGCTATAGCTTATTTAAGTAGCTTATAACGCCTTTTAGCCTCTTAAGAGCGCCCGCTACCTTTTAGTATTATATTAATAATATACTTTAGGGCTTCCTTAATAAGTTCGCCTTTATATATATAGATAATATCCTTATCTATATAAGCGGCTCTTATAAGGACTATATATAGAAAGTATAAAAGGTCTTAGAGCGCCTCTAACTTTATAGGCTCTACCTCGACCTAGATAAGTATAAATTCGGGGTTAAGAGGGTTAAGTACCTAAGCTTTATTATTTATATAAGTATAAGTATATAGGCGGATCCTATAAAGATCTAAGCAATTTAGGACTAAGCTGCCCTAACTATATAGATAGGCGTATAGAGCTTCCTTAAGTTCGCGAACTATTATAAGATATTTATTAAGGGCTTTTCTTATATTATAATACCCTTAAACGAGATTACTAGGAAGTAGACTACCTTTTATTAAGGGCCTATATAAGAAGGAGCGTTCTATACGCTTAAGGAC